TATTACTGCTTAATAGACTATTTTCTTAATTTTTAATGTAATTTTGAAGTATGAATTAACAGTTTTCATCTTCTTTGTGGCTACATTTCTGAGTGTTTTTATTATGTTAGAATATTATTTTTCCAATAACATCTTAAATTTTAATTTCTAGTGTTTAAACAAGTTAGTTTTCCAGTAGTTGAGGGGAAGAATTTCTGTAGGAAGAAGGAATAGACTACTGCAGTTTTCGAGCTTTGTAGTTCATGACCACTCTGATTTGTGAAGCAGTTTTAAAATTTGGACTTTTGAGAAATAATAAAGGTTTTTGCCTTTTTATGTTTTCCGGATATTTTGCTTTCTGAAGAAGAGGCTCTTTTAAAAATTTTTGCTGTTATGATACTTTTTGAAGTCTATCCTCTGCCCACTTAAAACATGTCTTATCTTTGCTTAGGTTATTTTCTATTTCCTGCAGTTTTTCTTCAGGGTGGTTTTCTGTCTTTCTGACAATAAGAGAATATTGGTAAGATAGTTCTGAAACCCCCTTAAGAGTCTAACGTTAGCACTTCTTGAATGTTCTCTGGATTGCCTTCTTTGCATTACATGCATCTTGAACCCTGTAAAGGACATTATCAGACTTTACTTGGTTCTCAGATTTCCTTGTTCAGATTATTTTCTTTTGCCAGGATTTGAATTTGTTGGTTCCTTTGTGGAGAATAGATTTTTCCTTCATTTTTACATGAGTATCTCCTTTTAATTAATTTAAGTAGTATTTTTTTTTCCCAGAGAGGAATCTCTTCAATTTTGGCTATATTTCAGTACCCTGTTTATTTTTTACAGCACCTATCATAGTATTATTTTGCATGTAACTCTGTTTGTTTATTTTGTACTTTTAATTTGAATATTAGCATCACAAATGGAGACCTTGTCTATCTTGTATACCACTGTAATCCTAGCACTTTGAGAGGCTGAGGTAGGAGGCAAGTCTGGGCCAAGCTAGGCGAATTTAGCAATTTAGTGAGATCCTGTCTTAAAAAAGGTAGGGGCGGGGGTGGGATTATAGCTCAGTATGAAGGCCTTGGTACCCTAGTATGGGGAGGTGGATGGAAAGCAGAAGATTGTGAAGTATGTAAAAGTAACTTTAAACCTCAACAATGTGTACACCATCTTTATTCTTTGTTATTTCTTTACTGCATTTTTTCTTCAAACTCGAATTTGCTTTTAAAATATATTTTTGTTTTTAATTGGCAGTGATTGTACATATTTATGGGATACAGTGTGACATTTCAATATGTGTATCCAGTGTATAATATTAGAGTGGCTTATGTATTCAGATGTGTCATTTGTGTTGGGAATATTCTAAATCTTTTATACTAACTATTTTGAAAAATTCAGTTAATTGATATGAACTGTAGTTATCATACTGTGCTATAGAACATTAAAAGTTACACCTCTTATCTAACTGCACCCTTGTACTCATTAACTATCCTTTCTCCATCTCTCTATCCCCTATACCTGCTATACTTTTTAGCTTCCTGTGTGTTACACTGATTGGTATACAGGAGGCTAATTTTACATTATACTTTAAATTAAGGTAATCATAGAATTGTAGAATACCTTCATGAATGGTGTTTCCTAGAGTGTGCCATCTAACCGCCTTAGTTAGAGCTGGAAGAAATTTGAGATTAAGGAACTCAACCTTTTCTTTCACAATGCAGATAAAGGAATTAAAACTTTCAAGAGATTATGTGATGGATTACCTAACCAATTAGTGGCCAAGGTCCAAGTTCTTACATTCTTAGTTGATTTCTTTTGGATCTATTTTATTACCTCATTCAACAAAAGGGCACAGGTTGTATGTGTGTATTTTTAAACTGTTAAAGGAAGAACATTCCCAGGTTTAATCCTTCAACACTCGCTGTAATACTCTGCTTGACTGACTTTTCTTTATATCAAAATTAGAGGTGGCTTTTGAGTATCTGCAACTCTCAATTTAAAATTGATCTTAGTGTGAGAAGCTGTTAGCAACAATGTTAAATATTCCATTTTTTGGTAACTAATAATTTTAACTATTCTTAAAAGCAGTAATTTGAAAGGTTATGTAGGAATAGGGTGTGAGTATAAGTTTAATAAAAAATTTTTGATTTGCTCACTTGAATTAACCCCAAAATGTCCAATAAATTATCTCCTAGTGATGAATTTAACACTTGTGTTTAAATATTCAAAACCAGAGAATATAACTTGAAAAAAGTTAACGTTGTATTCTAGTTTTTAATTACCCGTGTTCTTTGTCCCAAAGTTTTATAGTCCTAATAGAAGAATTTATTTATAGCCTTGCCTTGGTAGTCTGTGTCCAAGAGACTTAAAATGTTACTCACTTTTTTTTACCTTCAGTTTTTAGCCAGTGTTGGGAAAAATAAAAATGTGCAATTTAAATATTAATTAACCTGATAAATATAAGAAGCCATTTGAGTCACCAGCTCATTTCCCTTTTCAGTTCTTGACCAATTTTCAATTATTAGTTTTCATTTTGTATTTGAAATATGGGAGATGTTTAATCTTGGTAGATATATCTTTACTACTTGATTTCTGTGGTTTTGGCTCTGAATTCTGTCTTGCATAACTTTTTTCTCTATTTTTCTAGACAGTAGGACTATATAAATAAAAGTCATAGGGTGCCTACAAAGGTGTTGTGGTCACGTTGTTTTGGTTGCTAGGAACAGATTCCTGGCAACTGGAATTAAAAGGCCATTGATTTTTATTCCCTGCAGTGCACAGTCTTTTAAGATATCTCTCTTCATTTCTATGTCTGCTGTCTTCTTATGCTACTGATTGGGTTATTCTTTATGTTGTATCTATTAGTCTATCTTCTGTCTGTTTAGTTGTTTGTTTATACAATATTTTCTTATAGTTTTATTTTCATATTGGCCCATCTCCTGTCATAGGAGGAAGCCAACCTAGATTAGCTAACTTTGAGATAGTTCTAAAGGAAAGTCATAGATAGGTACAGAACTTCAATTTTGATTCTATTAAATTTCAACAAACTATTTCTGGTCTGTATTTTATTTCTCTTTCATTTTCTTTTTTCTTTCTTTCTTTTATGGTACCTGGGATTGAACTCACGACCTCGCGACCTTGCGCTTGGGAGGCAGGCAGTGGAATTGCTGAGCTAAATCCCTGGCCCTCTTTCATTTTCATTTTAACTTAGTATGAACTTTAAGTAATAGGTAACCAATGGAAATTAATATACTATGCTATTGCAGATCCAGTTTTTTTCTTTTTAGTGCTATTTACTTGTTCACATCTTGAAATGTTTAGTAAACACCTTGTATGTGCACCATTGAGCCATATGAAAATGAACACTACTACCCTATCTTCTCAGAAGCATTTTGTGTAGTTTTTTTATTTCTTAAAATACTTTCTTCAGTTGGCATCCACACTTTCTAGGTCCTTGTTTTTGGCCCTTTTCACTTGCCTCTGCTTGTTTCTTTTCTTATGGACCTTTAGAATTTAATTAATCCTTAAACTTCTCTCTAGCTTCATTTTATTGCCTACATCATCTACATCAGTGTCTTTGCTTTAGATACACTATGTGTCTAAAGATGCATGTTTTATTCAGCCCTGTCATTTCCCTTAAATTTTATTCTCAGATGTCCATCTGCCTTATCTCTAGTGGGCTAATACGCATTTCACAAACCAAAACACCTTGTAACTGTTTTCCTTAACTTTGTGTGTAGTGATCCATCTGCTAATTTTTCAGGTTATGACATGTCTAGTTACTTCACACTATTAAGGTTTTTTCCTCATATTTTTTTCATAATACCATTATTCCTTACCACTATCTTGATGTCATACAGATGACTGGTTTTTGTTTATTAATTTTCCAGGTGCTGGAAGACATTTATCTCTATTTTTATCAGTTTCTTTTTATATTTACTATGGTGTTTGCTTTATTTTTGTTTTGATATATTGCAACCCACAAGTTATATCATTAATGTGGCTTGGATTCTGTTACATTGTTATTGTTTTCACACAGCTATTTCTTTTTATTTTGTATTCTTCCCAGTTTTTACAAAGTTTGCATCTGTATTATATACGTTTTATCTGTCTTGAGTCCATTTGTTATTATGTTTGCCTTTGAATCTAGTTATTATACTATACTTATTCACATAATAGAAACAATATTTTAATGTTATTTTAGACCATTTATATGTATGTCTGTATTTATGCTTGGTGTTAATATTGTTATTTTAAATTTTGTTTTTAATATTTTCATTGTTACAGTCTTTTATTTCCTACTTTTTCAAAAAATAGGGTTTTTCTTGTTGAATTTTTTCTGTCCCAATAATTTAGAAGGTACATAGTATGTTTTTATTTATTTTTAGGTATTTGGGTATATTATTCCTTTGTTTTTGCCTTAAATTCTTACCATACCTAAAAGATCATTATTATCGCTTAGTATGAAGTAGTTATCTCTCTGTCTCTGTCTCTGTCTCCGTCTCTGTCTGTCTCTCAGTGTCTGTTGTCTGTCTGTCTCTCTTGTAAACAAAAGTTGCCTTATGGAAACTCTTACCTTTCTCCATTGTTTGAAATGTGACCTTTATCCTGTTTTTAACCTCTTTTTCTTTCTTAATTTTTTATTAGTACAGTATATTTGTTTTCAGTATATGTTTTTGATACATAATGAATGTATTTATTGTGGGATATTGGTACAATAGGACATACACATATTGCATCTTGATCCTTTGTATTTCCCATTTCCCTCTGTCTTTCTCCATCCCCACATCCCCTTCCCTTCTCTACAAAGGCTTTATCATATTTTAAAATTATATGTGTACACACACGCACACACACACACTCTTATACCAGAGGCTTTCTGTGCTTACTATGTTTCATATTCAAGTTTTAAGCATTATGTAACTTTAATGATAATTTGAAAATCTAGTAGATTATTCCTCTTTTTGTGCACTTAGTTTCACTTACTCTTTTAATTATTTGCTGCAATTTCCATTTCTTTATTTCAGGAACATTTTAGTGGATAAACCAAACGACCAGTCTTCAAGATGGTCTTCAGAGAGCAACTATCCTCCCCAGGTAAGATTATATGTAGCCTCTGATGTTATTTAGAATTCAGAATTAGGCACTTATTCAATTGATAAAAGTTATCTGGTATCCATTTGTAGTTTATTTAGTCTTTGGGATTGTGAGGTAAATTTTTTTCACTTTTAAATTTTGGAAGAATTTTTATTTCATAGGCAAATGCAGTGTGGGATTTGATGAGATAGACTTTTCCTTCTGTCTGCTGAAGTACTTAAATTCTAATTCTTTTTTTCTGGGTTAATAGTGATGCAAAACTGATTTTCTTTTGCGGGACTCAGGTTTGAACCCAGGGCCTTGTCCTTGCTGGGCACTACCACTGAACCACACCCTCAGCCTAGAACTAAGTTTCTTGACCCCTTATGAGGAAACTGTTAACCAAGAAGAACTGGTTATAGTGTAGGTGTTGCTATTCTGACCTGAGCAAAGGTTATGAACTCTGTTCTGTTATACTCAAGTCATTCTATAAATGTTTAAGGAAATCTTAGTAAGTTGTAGTAAATTGAGCTTTGACTTAATGATTGCCTTTTATGGAAAATAAACTTAATACAGTTTTTAATTGTATTAAAGTAGTATATCTAGATATTGTTAGAACCATGAGCTAATTTCTTTTCCTGATTAAGTAGTGTCTGAATTTAAAAACAATCACTTTTACTGAATACACTTTCCACATTAATTCTTATGTAATAGGCACACTTAATAATGTCCATATCCTCAAGGAAATTAATACTGTTATAGGCAAAGTAAATGAATAAATAAAACTTGTTTATTCTAGTGTAATTAATGGCAACCTAGTCTCTATACTTATTTTTCTTTTTATGATGCATACTTGCTTGGATCACTTGGTATTTTATTGTACAATATGTGTCTAAAGGATATATATTCATATTTTATATAAACAATATAAAGTCTAATAAATAACTTGTTTAATTAGCAACAGTTTTTAGAAGTGAAAATAACCCCCACCTTTTGAAGTCTCCTGTGAGCCCCTTCTTATATCTATCTTTTGCTTAATAAACTGATGTTTGTAATATATAATTATAGTTTGTTCATTTCCCCCGTTATATTGTATTCCAGTGTATAAATATGCAGAACAAGGCTGCCATGACCTCTTCTTACTGGCCTGCTCCCACCCTGAGAAATGTACTGATCTTTGCTAATAAATCTATGCTTTTACTTAAAAAAATATGTAAAAATATACTTTTCTAGTTTGCTGTTGAGGCATTTGAATTTTTAATGGATTTTTGCTGTCATGGGACAGGCTAATATGAACATGATTTTTAGTATACATATGTAGGATGTATATACATATATTTAGTATACATATATAGGATATATATACATATATACTTTACAGTATATATGGAGTAGAATTACTGAATCATAGGGTGCGTATGTGTAGATTCAACCTTATTGCATAATGCAAAGCTATTTTACAAAGTAGCTATATAATTTATACTCTTACTGGGATTATATGCAAGTTGCTGTTGCATCACATTCTCCACATCGCTTGTATGACTGATTGTTAGATTTTTTCAGCCTGGGAGATCTTTTTTTTTAAATTTAGCTTAGTTTTAATTTACTTTTTCCTGTTTATATTTAAGCTTATTACCCTGTGTTGATGGGCTTACGTTATATTTGTAATCATGTTTATCTTGATTCACTAGACTTCACATTTTCACATGTCTGTTGGTTTTTATTATTATCTTTCTGTTATGGAATATGTTGACTTCTCACTATGAAATTATCCTTTGGACTGTGTTTTCAAGGCAGTAGAATTTAATTTTTTTACTTAATTTTTTTTTTATTCATTCAAAAATTATTTAGTAAGTACTCATTAAGATACCAAACTAGATATTGGGAATATAGCTGTGAATTAATTACTGTCTTCTTGAGGAGCCAAGAAAAACTCTGAATCATTTAACGTTTAATATGTTAAGTCCTAGAGTAGATATCCGGGCATGGTGGCACATGCCTACAGTCACAGCACTGGGGAGGCTGAGGCAGGAGGATTGCCACAAGTTTGAGGCCAGTCTGGGTTACATAGTGAGTTCAAGTCCAGCCTGAATTACATAGTGAGACCCTGTCTCAAAAAAGAAAAAAAAAGTCTTAAGAGTAGAAGTAATCTAAAGTTTTTATGATTAAGGATTAGTTTATTTTAGAAATGAATAACATGTAAACCATTTTTCTTCCTTGCAATTCATTATAATTGGTACCTAAATACAACATGTGGCAAATCTCTGAGAACACCATTCTTGCCCAAAAAACGTGTAATGGGAAGTAATTCTAATTTTTACTTAGTTTTATGAGAAACTGCCATTTTAGGTAGAATGGATATAGTTTTGGTATATAAATACATAGCAAGGAGTCTCGCATTCTTTTTGGTTGTCAGCTCTGATACTTACTTCCAACTCCTCTAAAAACTAGTAAAAAGCCTATCTAAAAGAAATAATAGACATCTACATAAAGTTTATGAAAGCTGCAACCATAACGTGTTTCATTCTTAGGATGAGGATAAAACAGAAGAAATCCTTGCCTTTGGGGATGAAATGGGAGAGTTGCATTGATATTGAATAGAAGGGAAAATGAAGAAAATCCATCCCTGAGAGGTTATACTATATATTGTTCTTTGTTCACATTTAGTATTCAAATTCTCAACACTTGGGTATCCATGACACCTTATGATATCATTTTAAAGTGACTGTGAACATTGCTGTTAAGTTTCTCAGCAGAAATTGTCTATGGAGGTGGTTAGCTTCATCCCTAGGCCTCAGGTAGTCTCCAAAAATCATTGTGAAGGGAAATGAGCACTACACACTCAAAGATAATCAAACGAACCAGAAAACAAGACACTTCAGGAACTAGTAGAAATGTGCAAAAATTTTAGATATTGAAATTAAAAGTACTAAAAGATAATTAGAATTTTTAAAAACTACTAATCATATTGAGAAAAAGACATCTGCAAGGAATAGGACACTATAAAATTTGATAATAGATTTGAAAAACAAGCAAAACTTCTATAAATGAAAAATTAATTAAAATAATACTAGTTTGTTTATAATACCTAATATATTTATCATGGAGGATTGTTACATATACATATTGCATCTTAATCCTTTTTACTTCCCCTCCCCCCTTCTCCCCTCATCTCTAGATTCCCTTCCCATCTCCACAAACTCTTATCACCTGTTTTTGCTTATCATTCTTTTATTTTGCTTTTTAAATTACTTATACTTTGGGTTTCCCAAATAAGAGAAACTGTGATATTACATGTGTCTGATGTATTTCACTTAGCATTATAAACTCAAGATGCATCCATTTTCCTACAAATGATTCAAATTTATCTTTCTTTATGGCTGAGTAGTACTGCATTATGTGTATATACCACATTTTCTTTATCCATTCACCTATGGATGAACAGATAGATTTAGCTATTATGAGTTGTGTTGCTATAAACATGGGTATGTAAGATGTCATTAACTCCCAATAAGATCAGAAGAGGGATAGTTGAGTCAAATGGAATATCTATTTTTAGTTTTTTGAGGACTCTCTATATTGATTTCCATAGTGGTTGTACTAGTTCACATTTTCACCAACAGTATAGAAGGGTTCCTTTTTCCTCACAACCTCGCCAGTATTTGTTGGTTTTTGAGGTTTTTTTTTTTTTTTGGTACTGGGGGTCAAACTCAGAACCTTGCGCTTTCGAGGGAGGCGGCGGAACCACTGAGCTAAATCCCTGGCCCTTTTGAGTTCTTGATAGCCATTCTTTTAGGAGTAAGATGGAATTTTATTGTTTTTATTTGTATTTCTCTAATGACCAGAGATGCTGAACATTTTTTTATATACCTAACGTCTGTTTCTACTTTTTCTTTTGAGAAATATCTATTCAATTTCCTTTTTTAAAAATCAGGTCTATTATTTTGGAGGAGTCTAAGTTTTTTAGTTCTTTATGTTCTAGATAATAGTCTTCTGTCCAAGAAGTTGCTAGCAAAGTTTTTTTCCCATTCTGAGGGTTGTTTCTTCACTCTGTTGTCTGTTCCCTATGCTGTGCAGAACTTCTTAACTTTATATAATCCCATTTGCTAATTGTTAGTGTTATTTCTTGTGGAGTTGGATTTTTGTTCATACAGTTGTTGCTTATACCTATGTATGCAGGAGTTTTACCTATTTTATCTTTCAGCAGATTCAGTGTTTCTGTTCTTATATCCAAGTCTTCTATTTGATTTTCTTTTAGTACAAGTTGAAAGGTAGGGGCCTATAGTCATTCTTCGTGTAATAACCAGTTTTCCCAGCATCTTTTGTTAGAGGCCTTTTTCCAAGCTATGCTTTTGGTCCCTTTGTTAAAAATCTCCAGACCACTATTTGTTCAATGTTAGTTTTGAAAATCTTTCTAAAACAAATCACATCTTCTGATGTCTTGTTAATGCTTGAGATGTTTTTTTAAATTATATGGAAAAATGTTTAAGTACTTTTCAGTTTTGCTTTTGTTGAGTTCTGTTGTATTTGAATATTATTATAGTTTTTTTTCCCTTGCGTTGCTTTTCTTGGAATAATTTTAATTTTTGTATATGTGTGTGTTTAGTGAATGATAATAAAGTTATACTTAAAAAAAAAATCTGATGGTTGGTGCCAGGGATTTAGCTCAGTGGTGCCGCTGCCTGCCTCGCAAGCACAGGGTCCTGAGTTAGATCCCCGGCACCAAAAAACAAAACAAACAAAAATCAGAGGGCTGAAGGTCCCAGAAGTTGTTCTGCATCTCTCTATTCTGTTCCATTGATCAATATGTCTGTTGTTGTGGCAGTACCATGTTGTTTGAATCCAGGATTGTAATGCCTCTGCTTTGCTTTTGTTGCTCAGGATTGCTTTGGCTATTCTAGGTCTTTTATCTTTGTTGTTTTTGACCTGTCTATTTGTGAGAGTTGGATATTGAAGTCTTCTGCAGTGATTGTGTTAGTGTTTATCTTTTTATGTTCAGTAGTTTTTGTTTTATGAATTTG